GCTTTCAATGCAATTGAAATGGTTTCAAACGAAACATTATTTTTATCGTACGAAAGATTTTCTAAAACCGAAGTTTTAATCCGCTGCACTAATTCACCCCCCCCCCCTCTTAGTGCCGCTCCGATCCTAACAGAACCTACCAACAAAAGATGTCACTTGGGAGAACTATGACGACTTGAAGATCAAATTCCCAAAATTCATGAATCGTCAGCCTCGAGGATAAGGCTGATTTAAAGAGGGCGGGTCTATTAGGACTCTAGCTAGGAGAGTCCTAATTGAGGGGGACATTCATGTAAAACCTACCTAAGCCGACCCCTATTAAAGAGGTGAAGAGGCCGGTTAGGGTTAGGAGGTCGTTTCTTAGAGAAGAATTAGGAGTTGTAATGGAATATGAGTCTTGAGTAGAAGTCCTATTAGGAGTTGGTTAGAAGTAGGAGTCTTGAGTAGGAGTCCTATTAGGAGTTAGGGTTTAGAAACCCTATAAATAGCCATGTATTCCTCCTCTTTTGATAAGCAATAAATGAATCTTTTCTGCAACCTTTGAGTAGCAACTTGGAAGGAGGAACCCCTATAGAGTTCCAAGGAGGCCGATCCCCTAAAGAGATCAACCCCAAGTTTAGAATCTGCAAGGATTCTAACAGACTCCTTAGTGGCTAGAGTTTCCTAGTCACACAAGGCAGCCTTTTGGCTTAGGATTCCTAACCACAAGGGAGTCCTTAGTGACTGAGATTTCCTAGCCAATTAAGGAACTAACTGCCATTTTGGGGAACCCTATGGTAGGATTCTCAACATACTATAGAATAATTAATTAAATAATTTAATTAACTATTTTAATTATTATCTAGTAATCCTAGCCGCCCAGGTGCCCCTGGTAGCCAGGACTCTTGGTCGCATGGGGCAAGCAAGCGGCGAATTTTCCTAGCCACCCAAGGCTTCCCTGTAGCTAGGGTTTTCTAGCTGCAAGGGACTCCTTGGTGGCTAGGGCTTTCTAGTCATACAAGGTAGCCTTGTGACCTAGGATTCTTTGCCACAAGGGAGTCCTTAGTAGCTGAGATTTCCTAGCCACTTGTGTAATTACCTACCATTTTGGGACACGCTATGGTAGGGTTTCTAAAATACTATAGAATAATTAATTAAATAATTTAAGTAATTATTATAATTATTATCTAGTAGTCCTACATGGTGATGATGTGTACATATAATGTATGATGTCGACGGATGATCATGAACCCTGTGATGTATGTGTACATGTGATGTGATTATTATTATTATTGGAGCCTGTGTACCTACGATTAAGTTGTAATCACATAAGGAGATACAGCGAGATCATGGAAGTAATAGCGAGACTCACGAGGCGAGACGGATGATTGTGATGCATGAAGATGCCCCGAGATTCCGATAGAACCGACAAGGATGAGATGGATGATCACAGGGCATGGAGATGCGCCGCTGCACACATAGATCTTGATGTGAGTGATTGGGCCCACTAGCTCGGGCCTGATCATATTAGGCTTTGGTCCATGATCATATGATGTGATTGCTCATGTGATGTGTATTGTTTATATACTTTCTATATATGTATATTTGTTTCAAGCGATGTAGATATATATTAGATATGTATGTGTATGATATGTCATATTAGGAGATCAAAACAAAATCTCCTCTCTCAATAATATTAAGTTAGTAAATATGAGGTAATTAGATTGACCCACGTGATCTTCCATCGTTATAGGAAGAAATCGATTCTCAATGTATGTTGAGTTGGTCGAGTCCCTCGAGGCTCACCTATATTGTGATTCGAGATCTTGCCTATGACATAGAGATATCACCGGTGACCTAAGGACATTGTATACTTAGTTGAGTCCCTTAAGGGCATATCATTAAATAAGACTCATCTTGTAATGATGGTGATGACTTAACTGGACATCAAGGTTGGTCAAGTCCCTTGAGACCATGATGGTTCGGAGGCCACACAAGATGTGAGTCATAATAAGTTGTGATCGGCATGCGTTGCCTATCTTTTGGGCTTAGCGTAATTGGTCGAGTCCCTTGAGATTATGTTGAGATACTGATTGGATCCTGATCTCCACTAGAGATCCACTAGAGATCTTCGATTTGTTATGGCCAAAATCGACACTAAAGAGGGGGGGGGGGGTTGAATTAGTGCTTTTGTAAAAGTTACATTGATTCAAAAACTTCAATCGATAAAATCATATTGGAAATATGTTTAACTTGAAAACATTTATAACAATGTAATAAGCAAGTAAAGCAGTTTGCAATAAAGATAAATAACAAAATAGAAGTGCAAACTGAGTTTTATAGTTATTCAGTCGTCGCGACCTACGTCCACTCCCGATTCCTCTTCCGTCGAGGCCATCGGCATTCACTAACGATCTTCTTTCTAACGGGCGAAGATCAACTACGCTTACAAGTCTTTCTACATTTCATAGGTTCTGGAGAGAATCTTTACACCCCTCGATTATAAATATTTCCTCACACTCTCCCTTAAAACAGCCTCTATGTATATGGAGGAGGGAACTCAACTTTCTAATAGGGTTTGTGCTAGTCATAGGTGCCCTGCAAGCTAATCACGTGAGTGATGACATGTGTGACATGACACACACTCTTTTTGCTTATTATATATTGACATTTAATCACTTTATATTACTTGTTTTATATATATATATATATATATATATATATATATATATATATATATTGTAATGTCAATGGATCTGTGCAATGAGAATCGTATAATGATGAGATAATGATAATGAGACTGATTAGCCTTTAAACATAAATCTTAAATAATCCTGGTCAAAGGTTAGTGGAGAGGGACATCAAGATAACCAAATAAACTAGTGTACTGTATACCCATACATATGATGGAGGCGGTTGGTCTCATGCCTGCTCATGTGGGGACACTAGGCCTATAGTGCAGGTGCTCATTAGAGAATAAGTTCACTGATTAATCCACTCACGGAATGCTGGATGGTTAATGATACCTCACTATCAAATAATGATTCTGTTGTCCTAGTGGTGTACCTAGTCCTTAGATTTGAGACACCAAGGATGTCCTGTATGAGTACTCTATTCTTTAATACCGGACTTAAAGGTTTGGAAGTTTTGGATCTAGCACAGTCAGTCATCGGGAGTGGCAGCTAACTTTACAAGGACTATTAAGTGTTGAAAGATAATCATCTACTCTCGGTGTTATGAGAGGAATATCCAATATGTTCATGCTCAAGCAAATCCTTGGTCAGGATCATTCGGATTGAGAGAGAGAGAGAGAGAGTTCTCTAGGAGAATCCGATTAGAGCAAGATTCAAGTAGAAACTCTATGGGCCTAATAGTACCTTGCCTAGTATACGATCTTTAGGGTATTAGATGGATGATGGACTAGAGATGCATGGTAATTGAGGACAGACAGGTCCAATGGATTGATTCCTCTATATCGTCTGGGAATTGTAGTGTAGTGGCCTAGTACGTCCGTAGTCGATGAGTCGAGTGAATTATTATAGAGATAATAATTCTCTAAGTTAGAAAGGGTTCTGATAGGTTCACTCATGGCTAGCTTGATATTGGGCTTAGAGGGACAAACACATATGATATATGTTGCGACGGGTAGAGGTTCAAATATGATATATCCGCTAGAACCCATATCTTATTGGATATCCAATGAGCCTCTAAATTATTGGATCCTATGGATGAGATTTAATAAGAGCTAATAAAAAATTATTGTGTCGAGACCCACTACTCTAAGAAACTTGGGCAGTTGAATGGAGATCCAATACATAATATGGTAAGATACATTAGGGTTAAGTTGATAGGGGTCCTCTAAAAATAGGAGGGAACCAAAAGGTCATGGGTTAGTGTTAGGACTCTAGCTTGGAAAGTCCTAATTGAGAGGGACATTCATGTAAAACCTACCTAAGCCGACCCCTATTAAAGAGATGAAGAGGCCAGCTAGGGTTAGAAGGTTGTTTCTTAGAGAAGAATTAGGAGTTGTAAAGGAATAGGAGTCTTGAGTAGGAGTCCTATTAGGAGTTGGTTAGAAGTATGAGTCTTGAGTAGGAGTCCTATTAGGAGTTAGGGTTTAGAAGCCCTATAAATAGTCATGTATTCCTCCTCTTTTCATAAGCAATAGATGAATCTTTTCTATAGCCTTTGAGCAGCAACTTGGAGGGAGGAACCCCTATAGAGTTCCAAGGAGGCCGATCCCCTAAAGAGATCAACCCCAAGTTTAGAATCTACGAAAGTTCTATCACCTGGTATCAGAGCAGCGTTCTTGGCATCTTGCTGCCCTTCCACAGCCATCCATCTGTTGAATCTCGGATTTTGATGATAAAATCAATTGATTGGTTAATTGATCTAATCCATATTATTGAGTTAAGTGTGCAGGATTAACTACGATAACCAGAAAACACAAAGCAAGAATACCGGAGTCAAGTTCGATGGACATTTAAGAGACCGAAGAATCGTCGGAGATGCTGCCGGAACCAACCGAGAAGAAATCGGGAACCTGTCGAAATTTTCGGAAGTTCACCGAAAAGATCGTCTGAGGTTCGCGGAGGTCACCGAGAAGGCTCGGCTACTTGTTAAAGTCATCACAAGATCGGGAGCTTGCTGGGAGTTCGTCGGAAGAAGTTTGTCGGTAAGCTCGTCGGAACAAGACTCGACGTTCGCGGTTGAAAACTTGCTTATGATATTTTTAGTTATGTAGTTCACATGTAATTAGGATTAGGATTAAGAGATAATCTTATATCCTGGTTAGGGGCCAACTGGGCCCAAAATTAGACTTGGTTTGGGCTAAAATTAAAGCCCAACCTGTGAACCAAAGGGTTTGGCGGTGGCACCGCCCATCACCCGAGAGCCAGGCGATGGCACCGCTAGC